GTTCGGGGCGCCCTGCGCGGCGGTCCCGCAGCCCGCGCCGGGGAGCTGCTGCCGGGGGAGGCGGCGCCGCGGAGCCGCCTGGAGGAGAAGTTCCTGGAGGAGAACATCTTGCTGCTGCGGAAGCAGCTGGTAGGTGTCGCGGGCGCGGCGCCGCAGGTGGGCCGGGCGCTCGCCGCTGCGCGCCGGCCTCCCTCCTCGCGGGCTGCGCTCCGGGCGGTGACTCGCGGCCCCGCGGACAGTGCGGGCCTCTCCCCGGGGCCCTCAGGGGCCTGTCCCCCACCGAGGGGGACAAAGCGGGGAGGGGGGCGCGGCGACCGTGGCTGTCGACCCCGACTCGGAGGAGGGCCCTGCCCGGCGCTCCCGCACGCCCGGTGGGGCCCGGAGGCGCGGCGCGGAGGAGTCCTTTGTGGGCGGCCCCGGGAGAGCGGCGGGCGGCGGGGCGCTAGCGCCCGGTCCCTGTCCCTGTCCCCTGTCCCCTGTCCCCTGTCGTGCTGGGCTTGTCAGCGACTCCGTCCTTCAGGGCAGACTTCGTTAGTGGAGAAGCGCAGGGACTTTTGGGTGGGTGTACCGAGAAGAGCGTCTGACCCGCCGCGGGAGAATGGCGGCAGCTCCACTTCGGTGACCTCAAAAATAGTTTTGGGAACAGCAAAAAGACCCTTATCTGACTATGTGTTGCTGTCTGTGTCTAGACCCAGGCTAAGCAGTGGGCCTCTTAGTCCAGCGATGCTGCCTGGTTACGCGTCAGGCGTTTTCTTAGGTTACTTCTTTCCGGACGGTTGGCTGGAGCATCCATGTCCCTTTTTTTGCTTGCTTGCTTCCTTCCTTTTTTTCTGGAAAAACTCAAATTTTAGCAAACAAACATGGTTTACCACAGCTTTTTAAATCGAAAGACAGAGGCGTACATACCCATGCACCGGTTTTGTAAGGCTGTAAGCTGTGGTTTGTGCAGTAGGTCTGTTTTGGCATTTTATTGTGTTTCTTTGGTAACAGACCAGGTTTGCACGTAACACTGATTTGAGTCTATATTCTCCCCGGTTTTTCCTTTCTTTCTCATTGTCGTGAACAATAGCACCGTTCGGTGTTTGCGACTCTCAGGATTGTGCGTGGCTTAGCCCTCTTACCCGTTGGAGGGAAGCAGAGCACTGCGTCGGGAGAATTCCTGTCCAGTCGGTGTTTATGGCAGGCACTATTTTCATTTGTAGACTTGGCGGTTCTGATTTGAACCAGATGCTTTCTGAGTTCTTTAGCCTTTGCAGCGGTGGGAGGCGCTAGGTGGCGGTGTGAGTTAGCACAACCAATCTGTCACCTTTGGAAACTCGAGCTGAGTTCAAATCGTGACGGACTTTCCCTGGAGGGTTTTGGATTCTGCCAGTTCACATTATAGTACTTGGCACCAGGTATTAACGTTAGTTTCTCACTTTCAAAGGCCAAAAGACTGATTAAACCCCTCAGAGCAACTAATAGAAAACAAAATTGCAGGCCCAAGACATTCGGCCAGATAACCTTACCTAAGTAAGATTACAGTGTATTGTAGGAAATCTGTTACGGTAACATCAGATTTGAAAGTCTACTGTGAAGTAGTTTTTTAAAGCTGGCCGTACACCAGATAATTGAAAGTCTGTAGTTTTCTCCCTGTGATTTATAAAAAGTCAGTTTGTGTGTATTAGATAAATTAAAAATTAAATGACTTTTTAAATGAAATTCACTGCAAGATGAGAAAGAATTTAAGATAGGCTGAATCTTGAAATACTTGGAGTTTTACTTACTGCAAAAATGCAGTAAAATTTTGGTTTTGGAAGAGTCTGTGAATCTGGTGGGTAATTTCAATATTTGGAACACTTGGTGGTGCTTGTCACCAAAGTGCGTTCATTTTTCCTTTCTCTGTTCTTAATCAGAATTGTCTGAGGAGAAGAGATGCTGGTTTGTTGAATCAGTTGCAAGAACTGGACAAGCAGATCAGTGACCTGAGGCTGGATGTAGAAAAGACTTCTGAAGAGCGCCTGGAGACTGACAGCCGGCCCAGCTCCGGTGAGAGTGGGAGGTTACGACATTAGGGCTCACGGGGCTCATGGGTGGCTCCCGGGTAACACTTCCAGACCTGTGAAGTGCAATGGGCTTTGTAATGCTCAGAGAATTTTAAAGAGCAGTCTCCTCTTCATTTGCATGAAATAAAGTCAGACAGCAAAATTTGTAATAGTGAGATTGATCAGACTGGAGTCCCCAGGGTTTAAGAAATAGAAGTTTCTCTTGAGATTTCTGGGAAAGCAGTTCTCCTTTGAAATTTGAGAAAGTCAGAACTGGGCTAGAAAATTAGTCACACTTCAACTTCCTGAGACCACTTCAAAAGTTTTTTTTTTAAACATTTGGCTCTTTAGATTTGTTTTTCTCTTAAAGTTATAAACATTCATAGTACAGAGGAGGCTCTTTCAGGCCTCAATTCCTTTCTTACACATAACTTAAAGGTGGGAAGGTCAGTTTAAACATGTAACTTTGAAGTTACTCATAGTTATGTGCTCTTTGCCTCTTCATAAGGATTTTTGCTGTAAAACCATAAAGTCAGGACTCTAAAATCCAGTGAGCAAAATTTGTCTCCAGAAGCCCCAAACAAAATCACTTGCCTGGAAAGTTTACTTGTCTTCCTTTCAAGCATGAATGTGCATTATTCCTTGACATAATCTTAATTCTAGATGTCTTTATTTGTAGGGTTTTATGAACTGAGTGACGGGGCTTCAGGATCCCTTTCCAACTCCTCCAACTCGGTGTTCAGTGAGTGCTTATCCAGCTGTCACTCCAGTACTTGCTTCTGCAGCCCCCTGGAGGCAGCCTTGACTATCTCAGATGGTTGCCCCAAAGCGGCAGGTGAGAAGTTTTAACACTGATAGAAACGGACACTGGGATGGGTTATGGGCCTCTGAAGTGAACTAGTTTCAGTGCCTTTTGTTTTTTTTTGGCGGAACCAGGGATTGAATTCAGATCCTTGCATTTGCCAGTCAAGCGCTTATCCTACTGAGCCATCTCCCCGGCCCCATTTCAGTGCCTTTTACTGTACTGAGCCATCTCCCCGGCCCCATTTCAGTGCCTTTTACTGATGGAAAATAAAGTTCGTCAGAACTGCAGTTGCTGCTGGTGCCGTAGTTACATGTAGGACCCACAGCTTGGTGTAAGTGGATATCCAGGAGTCCAGTGTCTGTGGGTGCCATTTGGCTTTGTTTTGGTAACAGCAAGACAATTTAACTTAGAAATGCTGTCCCAATACTTACAGGTTTTGAGCTCCTTTTCTGAGCCTTTGCTGTTAGTTTATTTAACTTGTCTACATTTTCTTTCTGGTGCTGGGGTTTGTAGGGTGTTGTACTAACAAGCACACTAAGAATATATTCTACTGAGCTACAATCCCTGCTACTATGCAACCTCCTGTCTTCATTTTCTTTTTTTTCTTTTTGCAGAACCAGGGATTGAACTCAGACTCCTGTGCTTGCCAGGCAAGCGTTTATTCTACTGAGCCATCTCCCTGGCCCCCTTCATTTTCTTTTGAAAGCCATTCTGAAACTGTTTTCCTCCTCCTGTTTTAGCATTTAAAGCTACCATACCCCTTAAGTTAAAAATGTCTGTCAGTGGCCCCTCCATATTTCCCACAGTGTGCTAGGATCCTTATGGTCCCTATACCCTAATTCTCTGTTGAGCAGTGAACTCCAGGGAAAATAATGACATTGTAGTGAAGAATTTCCACATTCCTGCTATGTGTTTACTAAGTGCTCTACATACATTTATCTCCTTTGGATCCTTTTGCAGGGTACAGGTATAAGCTCTATTTTATGTGTCTGAAAAATGGGGTTAAGTTAGGTTTCTAAAAGAGACTGCAAGGGCCAGGGAGATGGCTCAGTAGAATAAGCACTTGCCTGGCAAGTGCAAGGGTCTGAATTCAATCCCCAGTTATACACCCCCCCCCCCAAAAAAAAAAAGAATAAAGTAAAACAAGAGACTGTAGCTGCAGAGTAGCAGAGGCAGGAGGTAGGCTCCTGTGTTATTACTGCAGGGTGCCTGTTTTTCTGCCACAAGGAAATTCAGAAATTGTGTTCAACCATCTCAAAATGGAGCAGGAATTTTGGCTTACAGTCCTGTGTTAGACGCTTACCTGCTAGGGGACCTGCCCATTAGCTTAGTTGTTGAAGTGACTGCGTAGTAAACAAAGCAATCAGCATGCTGTGGTTGATCCCCAGGTCCTCAAACCTTACCAGACCTGCCCTGAAGGCATCCTGAGCCAGCCCCCCCAAAAAAAACCCAACAAAAAACCATTTTAGAAGCTTACCTGCTAAATGGCAGTTGTTACTGAAATGTAGGACTCCTTTGTTGGTTCTGTCATACTGTAACTGCTTGGAGGACCTGAGAAAATACGGAGCTTAGAGCCCTTGTAGTGTTGGCACAAGCCAACATACTCATGGGTTACCTGTATTTTCAATTTGGTATAAAGCTGAACTTTTTGATCCCTGCTAGGCCAGTATAACACTGAACAGCAGAGGTTGCTGGTTGGTGTCTGCATTTGTACAGTGTGTGTTGTCAGCAGAGTCATTTGGAGAAGCAGAACTTTGTTATCCGGTGTGTCTGGGCCTCAAGTTCATTGGTAATTGCACCCCTTCACTCTGCAGATCTGGTTTCAAAGGGAAAATTTATAAACCTATTAAAAAGCACTTTGGTACAGGTTTTCCTTGAAGACAGACCCCTAGTTCTTCCAAATGCCGCATCTTCACATAATTGAGACAGTTGGGCTGGGCCCTGGAGTCTGGCCCATTTTGTTCAACTCTGAATAGGGAAAAGAGATAAATGACTGGTAAAGT